CACACATCCATATACACACTTGGTAAGCTAAGCCTTAGACGATATTCACACATCCTCGTAATTTATAAAACTACCTAAAGTGACTTGTTGGACGTTAAGGCCGTGACCGTATCCCGCGCAACCAGCACATCAAAGACTAGTTTAAATTTGACGCGCGTCTGCATCCTTGCATGCATCATTCATCAAGTACAGAGCAAAACACAACGTCAGTTAGTTTGTGAGCTACCTCAGCCATAAGATCTTACTGTTTTTGGCAACTGCTGTCTGTACGTCATTGTAAATTCAGTCCTGCTTTATTCCGCGATACAGTTGAGTGTGTTGTTCCAGAATGAATTATCAACCGCACCATCCGATCGTATGGAACCTGGACAGCATAATTACCAGTCTCAGCATAAGTCAGTCGCTAGATCCAGCGTTTCCATGGCCTAAAAACTTTTGCAGGATCGTACATCGGGCCAAAGCCTTACCTACTCTTGTAATGTAAGAACCGACATCGAAAGTCGTACGGCACACAGGTAGACTCTGCGTCAGTCCCTCACCAAACCATGCACAAAAATCATGTAAAACACTGCACAGGTTCCTTTTATCACGCATGTCTCGCTCACGCAACGCATGTGGCGCCGAATCGCAAAGCGCACTCGCCAACTATCTAGCACTTCTCTAAAAACGCGATAATCGCAAGTTTACTTTGTGAAAATTTGCGGTGGTCTACATGAAATAAATTATTGGCTGGTGCTAATTTTGGGACTGGTGCTGATAATTGACTTTTGACCTGAAATGGTGCTAAAAGTGAGATTTCCTGTAGGTTAAATTACCCAATTCACCACTAGTGTGTCCTTGCAAAGAAATTCGGATCATTCACCTCGAAAGAAGGCTTTTATGTGTAACCCGTATGATTCGTTATGATTATATCCTATCCGATCCTGGACAGGACTGTCGAAAAAGACCGTAGAATATAAGCGCGAAGTGGCTGCATCGTAATCACGTCTCCTATTTTTTTTAGCTAGGATGGCTACAGCCGATCTCTTGGTAGTAGTGACGGCTTGACTATCAAACAAGCTTGCCTCAAATTGCTTAATCCCATCCGCTATGTTGCCACACCTCGCAATTTTTAACGAGAAAATTATGGCGTTATTATTAGCAAGAAAACAGCGCAGGTAAAATACGTGCTGCATTTGAGAGGTGGTAGCCGTGCTACGGGGCTCAACGATCCTCATGGTAATCAAACTTTCACGAAGTTGACTACCACAATAAAATACACCGTTTCCGTCTCATTCGATGGATGTTTCCCATGCGGCACGACATAAAGTATAGCGAAAGCTTCGAGTTCGCCTCCATGGTGAATAGCCCCCAATTTCCAGGTTAGTAGGATCAGAAACGCATCCTCCCGAAGTACGACCTTGCAGGAAGCGTCCGTTGCGCTGCGACTGGATAGCGACCTTGTCGTCGTAAACACGTTGCAAAATGACGTGCTATTACAAGCCACAATTGTAGGTCAGGCATCAAGCTTTCTTAGACTCGAGAGAAGTCGCAATATTTTCTACGTGTGAACTGAACATAGTAGCACCAGCACAGTATATAAAATTCAGAACATATCCATAGTGGATGTTGTGATTTTTGCGGTGCGAGGCTGAGGAAGTATAAAGGGTTCTGATTAGGGCTCCGACGAATGGGACATTGGTCCGGGTAGACCTCGACCCAGGACCCGAACCAGCCGGGTTAAAAACAGGATCGACCTAAAAAATATGGTCTGGGTTGGAGCCCTCGTTTTGACTCCAGCCTCACTTGTCAGAATTGCAATAAGATGTCTCGTCAACTGCGATTGCCTCATTTACTTACCTATTGATCAGACAAAGAAGTTGTATGATTTCAAGTCCACAAGTTCGATGCTCGAGACCTAAATTGGGTCACCTTTTCAGTGTAGTTGTCATTTTAGCGGTCACAATTTGTGGTTTAATAGTTTTCAAATAATAAAATCATCTTTGCTTCACCAGTTCCATTGGATATTGTGCTCTATGGGAACGGGCACTGCATAAATGTGGAAGCTGTGACACGTCCAATTGAATGCGTTGTTGAATCAACCATGGAATCTTGGCAAATTTAAGGCACTCTAATTTTTTTTGCTGTACACTCATGCTATATGTGTCCCAGCGAATTCATTGGTAAGATGTATCGAGTGTAGCTTGCTTTGTGGCACACGGAATTTACATCCAGTTGACTTCAGTCGCTACGCCACTTTAATTCTACTTAAAGATTTGTTGGTCTTGTTGACGCATTGTGTAGCATTTGTATTTTTCTGTGCAGAAAATTAAGTAGGCTCAATGATTTTTTTTTGGTGTGGTAGTGCTTTTTTTATTTATACACACTCACCATGTGGTCCTTTTATGATCGTTAGACTTACTTCAGTATGGTTCGCAGTTGTTCTTATGTGTTCTTAAGCGCACGATTATGTCAAGCTTTGCCTGAGTCGTTTGCGGACTCGAAGCTTTTACGTCCGCTGATACTCTCAATCGATTATTAGTTCTCAAAGACGCCTCTACAACAGCAATAGTCTCCACCACGCATTCATGCAAAGGGTTACTTGTTAGTAGGTGAGAAGGCTACTACTTTCATTTTATGTTATGCACATTCATATTGTTCGTGTGACGCCCACGCGACGCGTGTTATAATTATTTGTCCTGTTCGTTACTAAATAACTCCTTATTTTCTATGCTGTTCCGGGTCTGTTCATGTGCAACGTAGAAGCGCATAGTTGCAAGCGGAAAGCCATTAAGATGGTCGTGCGCAGGGAGCTTTAGACTAGCGCGGTTGCGGGCGCCCCTGTTATTACAAAGACGTTAAGGCCCCACAACAAGTGAAATAATGCCTGACGATAACCCAGATGTTGGTGCTGCCAATGAAGCCGAGAAAACTGCGTGCTCATGTAAGTATGCGTCCATTTCAGCAATGCACGAGTGACAGTGCCTGAAAAGTCAACAGACTCGTACTGAGGAAAGTAGTCAAAGTTGTTTATATCTATACATTAGTTCCGGTAAGTTCTGTAGGTATTAGTGTTGGTTCGATCAAGCTTCCACATTGTTGTGCATTGTGACCCACCCTAATGCAACGGCCGCAATCACTCCACAAGTTCTACGTATTTGTTGCATCAGTGATGCTGATCGTTGCTTGCTTTAGTTTGATATGTTTGCTTTACGCACTTACTGACCAAAACGGGGATACACGCGGATATTGAACCAGTTTGTTGGGTTTACACACCAAGTAAAGATCGGTAAATAAAAGTGGTGCAGTATTGGTACCACGTACTTACGGTACTACAACACCTTATCGGTTAGGGATAAGGGTTAGGACTTTTGTTTTAGGATCGCAACGTAGAAGTCAGTCAGACAGGGATTACGGTTTTATTATCGTATCTAAAGAATATACAAAGTTCAGTTCCCCTTTTGAATCGTTGGACACAAGTGCCTAGTCAAGGAGTAGTGGGTTATAAGATCAACAGCCTTGTAAAGGCGCTCACTCTTGTTTTTCGCGCTATTCACATTGCGGGCTGTCGACGATACCGCGTAAGTGATGAACGCGTCTCTATCCTTGCACATATGTGCCGTTTCGTTGCTGTCCATGATCCAGCAGTCGCTCGTATTTTCTTGAGTGGCGTTTAACGCCACTTTCAAGTGAACTTCTTGCCTCTCGCTTCTATCATGTTTCTGTTTCCGGTAGTCGCGTGCGTAATGTCCGCGCTTACCACGACTGCAGCACTGAACACCGGACCCTTCCTTTTGGTGACCACCGCTTCTTTTGTTGTAGCATTTTTCTGCTGTCGTTTTCCGGCATAAGCTGTCTCATCTTCAATGCGCGATGTGTCCTTCTTGCGCCCTTCCTCAGCGATCAGCTTGCTGACCAGATCTTTAAAGCTGAACTGTGGACGCTCCTGCGAAAAACCTGCACTAGACTCTCGTTTTGTGCCGGAAGACTTTGTATCAATGTTGCACACGTATCTTCTTCACTTGGTCCACACATGGCTCCATTCATCTGCAGCACGAGTCGCTCCTGCTCCATAATGTGAGTACTCATGTCCGTCGCGGTATACTTGAATGTAGCAAACCTCTCTATCAGCCGAAGCCGATTTGCCATGTCTTGAGTCCGATGAACTCGTGCGAGGGCTCCCCATGCTTCGCGTGCACTATCCGTTGTTATGACATGCATGATCTGAGTATCGCTCAAGTTGAGAACGATTGACGCAAGCGCCTGCTGCTTCTTGGCCTCGGAGACGCCAGATGTGGCGTTTATTGCTTCCCATAACCCCTTGGAAATGAGGTACATCTTCATCATAAATGCCCATAACGGATAGTTGGTACCGTCAAGCAGTGTCACCTTAGGCGCAAAGTCGTTGCTTGGGCTCATAACCTGTTAAAATGTTAGCGAAGCGTTAAACTGAAGAAGACTTGTTGACCAAGCAGCAGAATTAAAAAGTGAATTACATGAAGCAGCCTACTAAATTTATCGACAAGCAACATTGTGACAAGAAATGTCTGCTCAACAAGGCTTTGTATGGTGCAAAGCAAGCGGCACAAGAATGGAATTATCATCTAAACGCACACCTTCAAGGTCAAGAATTCACGCGTACGGCTGCCGATCTTGGTGTAAATGTACGACGATTCGATGCTCAATTTAGCCTCGCGGTCATCCACGTTGACGACTTGATGCTTTTCGCGCGGACACAAAAGCACATAGATGACATCGAACTTGCACTCAAGACCGAGTTTAGTATCAAGGAGCCAGGCGAGCTGAAGTACTGTCTCGGCATCGAATTGACACGTGATTACAAGTGCAAATCAATAAGAATGAATCAGCGTGCTTGCATCAAGCGTTTGGCGGATAAATTTGGCATATACCAATGCAAGGACGTGCACACACCGTCAGGCGAAAGTGATAAAATGACCAGGCTTGGCGACAATGACTAATTCGTGCCCAAATGGCCTTACCGTGAGCTGGTTGGTGCACTCATGTACGTTGCAACGTGCACTAGACCAGACATCATGCACGCGGTAGGAGAAGTGGCCAAGTACTGCGAGCGTTATGGGAAAAGCCACTGGGACCTCTAGTTAGAGTGTGACTCTATAAATCGTAATCTCTTTGGAAGCGGGATAGTTGAGCTTGTACGCTTAGACGACTGTACATCAATATTCATGTTGTCACGCAAAGAATCTATAAGTCTTAAATTTTCTTAGTTAAGGAGCGCTAAGTAGCTTCGATACACTTGGCAGCACTTAAGTCAACTGGCACCTGAGGCTTCACAGACTGAATCCTCTGCAAGGACGATAAAGGCCATTGGCCTCTCTGAGGCCCAGCAGAAATGCTCGACAAGCTTAAGGTGCTGATCGGGCACTATAGTGGCTCTTATAGTGGTACAAGACCCGGAAGCACTTCGTACACGTCTCGAGGCCTTCTCGAGCTCTGAGTCCACGTTGATCGGACAGGTCCACGACCATTTTCATCTGCCAAGCCCACTCGGTATTTTTCATACCGGAAACCGAGTCAAAGACTCGCCCTCTGGTCTGAAGTTCCAAGAATTTTGAGGGAAAAGAGGGAAAAAATCTCCTTTGGTGGGCTCAAGAGATGAAGGTTGACATCAGCTCGGCCCTGCTGCGGTCAGAGAAGCAAAAGATGAGCCTGGCCCTATCGAAGCTAGGTGGGCGAGCCAGGGAGTGTAACTCACTTCTGGCACCTCGATAAACAATGACTTCTCACCTAAAATGCTAAAGCAGCAACTATCTCTAATGTTTGCCTCGTCTAATCAGGCATGTTGTGTGCAATCTCGATTCCTGTAAACCCGCCAGGGTAAAAAGGGAATATTCGTTTATGTCCAGGAGTTGCGAACTCTCATTGCTGCTATGGAGCTTAACAATTAACCTGAGACGGTTCTGGTGACCACTTTTGTGAAGGCCCTTTGCACTGGCGTTGCCAGAACGGAAGTGTTCCAAGCACAACCCTCAACATATGAGTGTGCAGTATACATAACGTTAAAAGCAGAGTTTAGCTTAATAGTTTCCCATTATGGCACTCATGGTTCCATTCGAACTAGTCTAGCAATGCTCACCTCATGCAAAGGGCAATACCCTTAAACCTTAGTTTTGCTGAGAGAGACGAAGAAGCTGAGATTTCCACTGTTTTTAGAGCATTTGAACATCCGCAGAACGGTAGAATCGAACATCTTCGCTTCAACTGTCGTATAAGAAGGACCTGACATGCTCATCCGAGCATGTTCCTCTCGTCGCTTACTAACGAATTGTAAGGCGCGGAAAAACGTCGGGTCCCAGTGCGGGGCGCCCTGCTTAGGAATATTTTGGGCTCTGTTGTACCTCTGGGTGGTTATAGGAAGAGGTCCTAGCCCTAAGTGGATTTGGGGCAACGCCACGAAGCATAAGCACAAGCCAGGCTTGTAGTTGCAAAAGCAACGGTGAAGGGCATAGATAAGCCATGGTCGATATTCATCGACTTCGGGGCGTTGGGAAATTATGTCCGACGTTGTTTCCTGGAATGGAGTCAGCAGTATGCTTAGGCACGTAAGCGCGAAATAATGAGATTATCACTGTTCGCTTGGCGGCAGGTGCGTTAGTCACTTTTAGCTTAGGCGTAAAGTTTTCGGCTTTGACAGTTTAGAGCGCTGTCTAGTACTTAACTTTGGGGGGGGTCTGATCTCATCCTTGGTACGTCCTGTCTGTAACGCCACGCCATGAGCCATGGGTCATTGGAAATCGAAGACCTTACGCGCAACGCGCACTATTCTCAGTGGAGCTTTGGAAATTCATAAGATCACCTCTTCTAAGTTACAAAAACACTATTGGCGAGAGCCAAGGACCAAGACCGTTAGTGTGCTCTACACCGGTATGGCTGAACTCATCAGGGTGAAGGATGTCAAACCATTACTTTCAAGCCAAGCTCGTTGACTATTAGCGAAACGGCTCGTAGGTACCCAGTGAGTGATGTTGGCCGTGATTGCAACACACTGATGCCAGTCAAGACATTGTTGGTGAAAATCCAAGTCATCAAGGGCGACGCCCACTTGATGAGCGCGGAGTGGCACGTAGGTACCCACTGGGTGATGATTTTACTAAAATTGACTCATCACCGGATTCGGTAATCAATTCGGATCTGATATGAACCAAAATGAGGTTGACTTTGTTCGTCACCTGGCGACAATGTATTCCCAGATGTCGGTAATGACATAGACCATGACATAGATCAAATTTTAGTTGACGCAGTTCGTCACCTTAAAGAAAGTGTAGTCCCAGAAGTCGGTAATGACATCGGCCATATTTAGATTAAATTACGGTTGACTTAGTTCGTCGCCTCGGGGACAGCGTAGTCCCAGATGTCAGTAATGACATTGGATCTTGTACAGGGAAAATTATGGTAGACGCAGCTCGTCACCTTGAGGGCGGTATAGTCCCGGGTGTCGGTAATGACACTGGCTCTTGTATAGAGCAAGTTCATGATGATGATGATATTAACCTTGAGAACGCAAAAGTTCCAGTCTCTTTGAAACTTTCAATCTCGTCACACAGACGACATTGACTCCAGATTGCTGTTATGCAACGCAAGGCGTCTTTAACGTATCTGAGTAATACTGGCGAGCAGGTACATGGATTCGTCAATGTAGTAAAAGGTGAGTAGATGAGTAAGTGAGCTTTTAGACTCTACCATCGCTGAATCCGCTGTTAGAGCTAGCGAAGTGTCTGCCGATGAGTCTATCCTGACTTTGAAGTCTGGTGGCTTATCTGAAGTGGTGGCCATTGGATATAATTGTTAGTTTAAGTCGTCGTCACTTCTTGACCAAGATGTCATGGAAGACACAAAAGCGGCACTGAGTGCTTGAGGTGGGCCATCGATCTTGAAAGATCCTAAATAACCTATTTGTTATCCTTTGGATAAGGAATTTTAAGATGTGGTGTGTTACAATTCATCATCTATCTTACCATGTGATAGATGTTTACGTCATGAAATTTGACTTAGTTCCTAAAACCAAATACTGTGTGACTTGGCAATGGCCCCTACCAAAGGAGCCGTGTGACGTAATTGACGAGTTCTTTCGTGCAGAGCACGCAGAATGGTTCGTGAGGGTAAATCTCCCCGTGAGATTAAATATCTCCATTCAACACCGACATTTTGTGTCAAGAAGCCAAATGGCAAGTGGTGCATTATGCATGTTTACAATAAGTTTAATGCAGCCTCTATACCGGTGCAGACGCCTATTCATAGGAAGTATGTTCTTCAGAACAATATGGTAGGATGTACTTAGCATAGTGCACTTGACTTAGTCGATGGATATTACAGCTGCTCATGCGAGCGAGTGATATTCCGCCCACAGCGGTGATTTCTCCGAGCGTTATGCTCTGGGAGTGGCTCATTATGCCACAAGGGCTGTCTAACTCCCCAGCTACTTTTAACCGTCTGGTGACGCAATTGTTCAGACCTCATCGAGGTTACGTACAAGCGTACTTTGACGACATCTTTGTCCATAGTCGTGCAACGAATGGTCGATCAGATGTGGATAACCACATTGATCATTTACGAGCGGTGCTCGAGTGCATGCGCACAAAAAAATTGTACGCTGACGCGTCTAAGTGCATCTTTGATGCCGAAGAAATCCCTTTTCTGAGGTGCTTCGTTGGGAAGCGAGGCCTTCGAGCGGACCCCGCTACGGTAAAGACCATAGTCGACTGGCCAGTTCCAGAGAACAAAAAGGACTTACGTAAGTGGATTGGCCTTGCCAATTACTTGCATAAGCATAGTGCAAATTACGCAGACATGGCTAGGCCATTATCCAATCTACTGAAAAAGAATGTGGATTGGTGTTGGGGTCATACCGAGCACGATGCTTTTAGCGGTTAAGAAGAGTCTCCTTCATGCACCAATATTGGCTTTGCCTGATCCTGATCTGCCCTTCAGTGTCGTATGTGACGCATATGAATTTACCATTGGCAGTACTCTGTTACAAACAGATGTTGATGGACGCAAGCGCGTCATTGAGCTCGAGTCTCTCCAGCTTAAATCTGATGAAAGAAATATCCAGTTCATGACAAAGAGCTACTTGCTATGAAGTATGCTCTAGTCAAATTCAGAGTACATCTGCTTGGCTCAAAGCCTTTTGTGATCTATACAGATCATGCGTCGTTGCGCACTGCTACACAGTCGCCGCATCTCTCTCAGAGAATGAACCGTTGGCTTTCATTCTTTGCCGAATATAACTTCGAGGTGAAGTGTAAGCCAGGGAAGCAAAAATGCCTTGGCTGATGCGCTATCGTGCCGCCCCGACTATGAGCTTGCTCATGTTACGACACTGTCGTCATCAGTCCCTGACTTAATCCTTGCGGATTATGCCAAGGACAAACAATGTGTAG